GCGCTCGCCGCGCGAGGTGCGCCAGAAGCGGGCTGGCACGCTCGTGAGGCCCACGGGACGCCCCCTGAGATCCTGGCGTCACAATTCTTGATAACGAGCAATTCTGGCTTGTTTCGAGCCCCGGGACCCTCACGGATCGATCTGGCTCGAAAAACGCAGCAGAAAGATGGGCTCCAGGGCTCTGGTCGAGTTTTTCCCAAATGTTGCAAGTTCTGCGCGACGTCGAATCTCAGGAGACGCCCACAGGAGGTCCGCGGCGGGAGAGACACCGGCCCAGGGCACCTGTCATAAGGGCAAGCAAGCAGCCAGTCAGAACCCATCAAGCAAGGCTACTTGGGGAAAATCTCAGTCATCTTCTCTCGTCCTCCTACTCCTCCTCCTCCATCTCTGTCCTTTTCCTTACAGATGCCTCCGTCTTGTAGCACCACCAGACGTGCCGGCAGAGCAGGCCAGGCGTCTCGCCTGAGACCTGCACACCATTCATGGTCCCGAAGCTTGCGGACTCCAGCAGATGCAAGGATGGAGGAGGGGCGCTGAAACAGTGCGGCGCCCTTCTCAGCTCCGCGTACTCCAGATTTTGTAATAAAAGGGAGGGGGTCTGGACCCTCCAAGACAAGCCATTTCAGACCCCCCCCCCGTGGGAGAACCCCCCAAAACATCGTCCCCAGACCCCCCCAGGCCCTCCAAGATAGCCTGGAGGAGACCCCCCCCGAAATGTGACCCCCTCCCTTTTATTACGAAATCTGGAGTATGTTCGTCTTGCAAGCCTGTAGCAGTTACAGGGATGGAGCGGGAGTCGTTTTCAGGTCGGGGCTCTCGCCTCGGCGCCGCGCGCATTCGTCTTGAAAACACTTGCAGCAGCTACAGACATGGACGGACTTCGCTGTCAAATGAAGGATCTCGCCTTAGCGCTGCGCGCGTTCGCCTGAACAGCATGCAACGGCTGCAGGGAAGCTGGACGCTTTCTTTCCACCCTAGGGTTTCTGATTGCGACTTCCCCGGATGTCAGAATCACGGACGGGAGCATGTATAACAGATGCACGGGATGAGGACGATTGCTTTTCAGCATGGAGATTTCTCATTGGACTTTCTCAAGTTTACTTGCCAGCAATGCACTTGTGGAAAACTTACACGTGCGATTTCAGGTTCACGAGGGGATCTCGCTGTACACCTCCGGGGAATGTCTGATTCTGCCGACTCACAGTCCTTATTAGGTAAAAGGGTATGCAAGGCAGTTTCTTTCCAACACGGGGCTTTCGCTTGAAGGGAAGGTCCGTAGGATGCTCGTCTTTCAAGAGGGCGCTCGTAGTAGCGAAGAAGAAAGCTCATGGGACTTGTGAGGGAGATACTTGGGACGGGAGGGTGTGTTGCAGCATCGCTGATGCATCCTTAACGGTTTACTCTGGTCCTTCTCATCCTTCTTGTCTCCCTCCTTCTGCTTCTGCCCTCCTCCTCCCTCCTCCCTGCTCCTTCCACCTCCCTCCTTCTCCTCTGGCTCCTCCTCCTCCTCGTCTCCGTCCGCCCCCTCCTCCTTCGCCTCCTCCTCTCCTGCTCTATCCTTTTTCCTCAGAAAATCATTCCTCCCTGTCGCACCCCAAGACGTGTCGGTAGGGTGGGCCTGGTGTTTCGCTGGAGTCACAAGGCTTCACGGAAGGAGCGCGGGTCGTTTTCAGAATGTGCACACTCGCATTTCAATTCGCAAGAGTTTCACTGATGGAAAACGAACTGTTTTCAACATGTGGTTCTCGCCCTGGCGCCGCGCACGCCCGTCTTAAAACTCTGCAGCAGCTTCACGGATGGAGGGCGGTTCCTTTTCAAATTGTGCCTTTCGCCTGACCGTCGCGCACATTCGTTTTCAAACTTTGCAGCGGCTTCAATGATGTAGGGACATTTTTTTTCAAAGTGTGGCGCTCGCTTTAGCGCCGAGCACATTCGCCTTAAAACTTTAAGCTGACTCAGCGATTCTTATGGCTGACGTCCCAAGGAACGGTGTTCTTGCACGATTCAGGATTGTCAGGGCGCAAAGATAACGTTGATTCGTCGTGTTGAAATCCATGACTGGCGTTCTCGCACGTTTCAGGATCGTCAGGACGCAATAATAACGTTGATTCGCGGCGTTGAAATCTCAAGAATTATGCTTTGGTCGGATTGAAGATTCTCAGATGGTTCCCTTCCAACGGGGCACTTCCCGCAATGAAAACAATTTCTTGTGGGGACCAATGCACTGGGGACGTGGAGGGAAGGTTTATTGCGACATCGTTTATGTGTCTTGCATTTATTTATACTGGTTTTCCCCCTCCTCCGCCTCTTCCTCCTCTCTCCCACCGCTTGTGCTCTTCCTCCTGCTTCCTTCTCCTCCTGCTTCCTTCTCCTCCCTCCTCCTGCTCTTGTGCTTGCTCAGCCAGGCCCACGCCCCGCCATGGTGTTCCGGTGTGCCTTGTACGGGCACCCTGGAGACGCGCACGCCAGCTCCTCCGGGCTCGCGGGCCCGGGGCCGAAC